AACGGGTCACATCCTCCCTTGAAACTGTAGTTCTGGTTCATATCTTATATTATAATGTACTGTTAGTTTCCTGTAAGTTTGATTTCACTGTTGCCGTGTTTTTTTTTTCATCAATAGAGAGATTGAGAGTGAAGTTTACGGCAAACGTCAGATTCAAGTAGAGAATTCCTTAAAAGAGGGGAGGTGCTTAAAGCAATCCAAAACAATTGTTGTAGACAAAAACAACGTGAAGCTGCTAATTTGGGGGCATAAGTATTGATATCAGTAAAGCACAAGTGACTTGCTTACATGGTACAAATTCACGTTTGCCTTTTGCCGTAATGCATGGTTCAATTTGACCTGTTACCATGCCTCCCCTAGCATTTCCAATTTTTTTCTTCCCTGGTGGTCTATTCCCCACCCCCGGACACACAGAAGGAGATAATTCCCCACCCCGAGCCCCTGCAAAACGAGACGTTTTCTGAACTAATATGAACGTTTTATAGAGTTATTGAGAGAAGAATAATACATGCAGTATGCAGTTTAAGCGCGAACAATACATTTGATAGATCAAATCTATGTTTATCTATCTATATATTATATTAAAAACCTTGTATCCGTTTCCATATACAGTCTATTGAAGTTGTCTTACTATTAAACTAGACAGAAGAAATATTTCTTTGTTTCTTTTACAACTGAAATAAAAAAAACATTTAAGTACGCACAATACGCTTTGATAGGTTATTCCTCTTCAACCACTCTACAACAAATTCCTGCGTTTTCCCTTGAAAATACATAGCCTTGAGCCGAGTTTCAAAGCTTCGTGCAAACTACGCGAGAAATAACACGTACTTCTCAAAATCAAAGAAAAGTAATTTTTGATTTCCCCCACCCCCTACCCCTGGACAGGACGGCCTCAAACAGTTCCCCACCCCCGGCCAGAAGGGGAGGACTTGTCCCGGGGTTTGCCCGGAGGAATGGTGACACGTTTAACTGAACCATGCACAACCGTGACTCTTAAAAACTATTTAGAATATCACATCGTCGTGGCCTTTGGCCGAGATCACAACACAAATCACACGCAGTAGTCGTGTTTCCTGGCTCATTTTGAATACCTTTTTTGTAGTAAATGACTGCAATTACGCCGCCATTATGCTACCGTAGTCCTTAGTAGCCTGTGGTACAGGGCAGCGGTTTCCACCCACTCTATTGTTCGTTATGTCTACTCTTCCATCCTTCCTCTGGTTTCCAAATCAAGGTTTGCGACACTCAGGAAGGACTGGACAATCACTCACCGCAAAATTACGCTGCCTCACACTCCAAACTACAGCTAGACTGCAAAACAGTCGGTTTTTTTCTCAAAATCGGTGAGGCGTAACGCAAGAGGTTTTATGCGCGCGAACCTCACACGCCCGTAGGGGCGTATTTTTAGCGCCTCTCTCTAGTCTCGTTCTCAGTTTTCAGCCTCGCTCCAGACGTTTTGTTTGACTGTTCGCGCGTACTTGAATACGCAAAAATACGGACTGTTTTGCAGTCTAGAGTACAGCCATTTAGACTGTTCACAGCCTTCTTTTAAGGCGCTTAAGCAATGACGACGGCGACCGCCACGAGAACGTCCACAAAGCAAAGCAACAACTCTGCACGTGTGGCACGTGCATCACCTTATTTGGTGCCTTTTTTGCCGTCCCTACACGACTACGAGGGGAAACTTCCTATTAAATTTCACATTTTAGATAGGTCGTAAACAGGAGACGATTAATTTTTCTTCTTCTGAAATGGATATATTCCTTAAGAATTATACTCCAGGCTCCAGCTGTTGAAAGGGCGGATAACGCTATCCTGTGGATAAATTTCAATCCAGCGGATAACGCAATTGTTCCTCCTCATACTTATCCGCTGGATAGTGAATTATCCGTTGGATAGTGAATTATCCGGTGGATAGTGAATTATCCGTTGGATAGCCCTATCTAACGTTTGAACAACCAGGGCCACAAGAAATCGCCAACATTTGAAAGAGGTAGAATTATAGCGATAGTTACCAGCGCGAATCCACTTTTTAGGTGACGCTTTCGTAGCTGTCGCCGTTGCCGTGGCCATCGTTGTTGCTAAGCTCCCTATTTTCTCGTTGTACGAGCGAGCTGGACGCGTATCTCCCTCACAGTTCGCGCTTCTGTCTGTTGTTAATTGCCGGGTTCATCCAGACTGCCATGAAAAGAAAGAAAGGCTGTGGACAGTCCATAGCATAGTCATGAACTATGCGACCCACGCGCGTAATTCAGTGCACAAAGGCTAATTTACGAAAGCCAAAAAATTATTATAGACAATCGCTTTATTATTCTAATACGACTGGGTAATTGCAGGAGCACTTTTGATCGAAGTACCCTGCCATACTGTCCGGCTTCAGTGTCTGGGTGTGTAACTTTTTGCCACATGTCAACAATTAAGATCTTGATTTAATTTTTGCGTTATGGAAAGCGTGAATTGCAAAAGTCGTTGCCGCTTGCCGTTTTGCGTTTCCAACACGGGGAATAACGTCAGCGACGTGCTTCCTGAAATTGAAGTAATATAATTATGAATTTAATGAACGGATTGTGAGACAAGAAATAAAACATGAATATCAATTTTGTATTGCTACGCTTTGTTAAACCCTTTCGCTTCAAGCGGGGCAAGGGACGCAAAGGCCCTTCCCTTGACCCCTTTTGCTGCGACTTCCGTTGAAAGTCCCACGAGGCGCCTGCATACGAGGAAGGACTCAAAGCCGGCAAACATTGTATGAACTCTTAAATACAACCTGGGCCACATTGGTGGGAGGCGAGGCTGCATGTTCTAAACGACCAATTACCCTGCGGTGGGGACAAAAATAGAATGGCAAATGCCCCATCCCCGGGGATCTTCCCCAATCAACTTTATAAGACAAAACTGCAGAGGTAAGGTGGATTTCCATTGTCGCGTAATTTTAACGTCCGTACGTACGCAAATTTTACGCCCGTAATTAAAACAGGGGCAATTTATGAAGTGTCGCGCGTAAACGTAAAAATTGGGCGAGTTTCGTCTTTTACGTTTGCGCGCAACCTTTCATACATTGCCTCATTTGTTTTTTCCTTACGTAATTTTTACGCGCCTACGCATATGGAAATTACGCGACTGTGGATATTCACCCTAAAGGTGGATTTCGACTGTCGCGGAATTTTTAAGGTACGCGAGGTTCAACTGTTACCTTTACGCACGGCCTTTCATGAACTGCCCTTTTTTAAATTAATTTACGCACGTAAAAATTACGTGACAGTGGAAACTCACCTTTACGCGCGATTACTGACCGCTCGATTGAAAGGCTTTCATAAATATATACAAGGGAGAAGACTTGCTATGTGGGCTATGTAAGAAATGACTTTATGCGTGATCCCTGATCATGAGGAAACAAGCTAACTTTGTTCCCCTCGAATGATTTTCTGAGATGGAGATTTGAAGATTCTTGATTACAAGTAAATCACCGTTTATTTAACGTAGGGTGAAACGTGATAATACATAAGCAAGCACTAATGGCTAACGCTTGTACCAGCAACATTAAACCCTTACATTAGCAAGTGCCATAATGACATTGTTTTGTTCCAAAAGACCTTGACAAGCAGCTTTGTATCCACACTGACAGCATCTCTTTATAAATATTCAGCTGGACTACTCAATGCGAGTCACACGTTTTGTATGCCAAAGCATAATTTTCATGCGCTTATTTATCCTCAGACAATTTACTTCACGGCAAAATAAGCTGCAGAGAAGGAGAAAAATGTTCTCTCTCCCTACCGCGTCTCACCTTGCTCGAGTGAGGTGATTTTTACCCGGCCGGGCTCACGTGTTTCCATAATAAGGAAAAATAAGGGACTACTCCTATTCATCTTTTTTCTTCTTAATTACTACGTTTGGGAGAATGCTATAACGATCCCTGAAAAACTAATCTACTATCTACTTAATCAAAAATTCGGGATCTTTTTCCAGTAAGACAGCCTTAACTCCCTCAAAGTGAGCGTTAGCATAGTAATTTAATTCATCCTTGGTTTGCTTGTGAGTCAACTTGCTGACATCATCTGGTAACTTGCGAAGTTTCTTTCCAGTTTGCATTGCAATCATCTGCGAAATAAAAGTATACAAAGATGACATTTATGTTTTTCGGGAGATGAATTTTTGGATGGGCATGTCTTTTGTGTGATAAGTTATAATCACTGCCTTTTCAAAGAGAAAAAATGCTTTTTAACTTACGGCATGGAGTGGCAGGCTTTGTAACGGGGGAATATAAGAGTGCGAGAATGGGATGAGTGCGAAAGAAAGGTGGAAGGGAATCTTTCTTCCTTCCTTCTCCCTTCTTCGCGTGCCGCCCTCCGCCTAAATCTCTTCCCCCTCCTCCCCGCCTTTCTCCTCATTAAACACCACCACGCTGTAAGCAAACGTATGTTAACTTGGCATTACCTGCAGCATACAAGCTCTCTCCATGAAGTACGCGTTGTCAAATGTAACAGCCACAGTGGAACCAGTAAACAGTACTCCATGGTTGGCCATAAACAGGACAGATTTGTCTCCAATCAGCTTCGCCAAACGGTCACCCTCTGAACAGTCTTTTGCTGCTCCTTCAAAGTTTGAATCATAGGCAAAGTCATTATAGAAACGGCAGTGAGTCTGATGGTACATGTCAAAAACTTCTTCTTCCAACATTCCTGAAAACCAATTGAAACAAGGATCGTTGTTTCAAACAATCTTATCACTGTTCACCGTTGCCCTGAACTTCACACAGTTCTCAAATGGAGCGCTTGCTTAAAGGTTACCCTGTTATTTCTTTGCAAGCAAAAAACAAGTTCACATAGTATTGCCTGTTTAGCCTGAACTGAGCAACCGATTAACATGTAGAGTCAGATCCAAGTGGGTGGGTCCCGACCTCCTCTCCTCTCTTTTTGACAAAATATGCACAAAAAAATTATCTACTTAATGTAACTGTACACGACAAAAAAGCCTCTTACGTAGAACTCCTTTGGACTCTCCATGGATGACGACAAGATAGGATGTAAATCACTAGCTTTAAATAGTTCTTACAGTGAGAAAAAGCTGAAACCCTCTCCTAAACAAGATGCTCTTAACTCGGGCTACAATGGAAGGAGTTTAGGGATCAAACAAAACCAAAATAGTGGATGATTTTGGCTTGATTAAATAGTTATGTTATATATCACAGTCATAATACTAACAGTTAGTAAAGAAATGTAAACAGTGAGAGAAGAATAAGGGGGAAAACTTAGGACTAAAACTCTAGACCTTTTGCTCAAAGAACCAGTCAGTGTTGCCGCTTCACTAGGAACCCAGTCAGTCGAAAATTATCTGTTAAAATGAAAAATGCCCTATATGTTCTCACAATGGATAACAAAACCTACTTTCTAAAAGAGAATAAAAAACTTGTAAAGTGAGTCCTAGAAGATTTTTTTTGAAGTAATGATTACAACACGATAGAATGCAATTCAAGCTGCCAAAACATTATGGCCAACTCTTGTGTCCTCTCATACTTCAGTTTGTTTATCCCATTTCTATGACAACTCGTCCAACAATCCATCCATCTAGGATACATTTGCACATTTTATGACTTGGAAACCCTGACTTGTTATATACTGTCATCAGCTATTTTCTGTATTTCTCTCAAAAGACATAAGAGTTTCTACCTAAAGCTGTGGTGTATGGAGCATGAAGATGAAAAACGCACACAGCATCTTTTCGTGCATCATGAACACCCTTGTGTATAGCAGTGGCCTCTATTTGAACTTCACCTTGGCCTTCCACCAGCTCACCTCTGTCATTTACGCCAATCAAAGAGGATGGGGTGGCCTGTGCAAATAGAAAAGCATGGAAATTTTATAGTAGCCTGTGTAGCCAGCGGTATGGTTAACATGAGCAAAGTTTTGGCAGAGGAGCTGCAAAGTTGTGTGGATAATGGGGAGGAGATACTTTGAAATCACTTCTCGCACCTTTTGCCAAGAGAATGCTACGCTGCTAAAACCCCCCACACAGGTAACATAGTTGGTGCTCCCTGATGAAATTTGTTTTTGATATCTTCTTCATAATCTAAAGGAGATTTGCGTATTGGAAAAGGCAGTAATGACTTTAGCACAAAATTAAGCTTAAACAGTAATATCCTCATAACCTAGCCTCCCTAACAATAAATGGAAGAGTGGGTCACTGCAGAGGTGGAACAGGAGGTCATTATACATGGCCGTTAACAAAACGCGCATTGGATTGCTTGGATCAGATCATATTGTAGATCAGATGGGACTGGCATTTCTACTTTTGGGGCAGAAGAATTATTTCAAGAAACGACTTGCCCCCCAACAGAGTCAGACCTATGACTAGTCCAGATGTGTCTAGCCTGCGAGCAAGCTCTCCTATTGGGGCGAGTGAAGTGAGTGTCGCGAGAACGCGCGAGCGAGCGGCGAAGCCGCGAGGGGCCGGCGAAAGGAGAGCTTGCAACCATCCCTTACAAATTTTCATTTGTACTTCGCCCAGACGAAGGGAAATACCATTGGCTGGAAAATGACGTTCCGGAAATCAAAGTTGATTGATAACAGGCTAAGCTGGCACCCGCTTCGTCTGTGTGTCAAATTTGGTTCTCAGGGGGATCAGATTGGTACCGAGAACTTGTTTCAGCCCCCAAAGCAGATTCACCCTCTGAACAGTCTTTTGCTGCTCCTTCAAAGTTTGAATCATAGGCAAAGTCATTATAGAAACGGCAGTGAGTCTGATGGTACATGTCAAAAACTTCTTCCTCCAACATTCCTGAAAACCAATTGAAACAAGGATCGTTGTTTCAAACAATCTTATCACTGCTCACTGTTTCCCTGAACGTCAAACGATTCTCAAATGGAGCGCTTGCTTGAAGGCTACCCTGTTATTTCTTTGCAAGCAAAAGACAAGTTCACAAAGTATTGCCTGTTTAGCCTGCACTGAGCAACCGATTAACATGTAGAGTGAGATCCAAGTGGGTGGGTCCCGACCTCCTCTCCTCTCTTTTTTGACAAAATCTGCACAAAAGGGTTATCAACTTAATGTAACTTTACACGACAAAAAAGCCTCTTGCGTAGAACTTCTTTGGACTCTCCATGGATGACGACAAGATAGGATGTAAATCACTAGCTTTAAATAGTTCTTACAGGGAGAAAAAGCTGGAACCCTCTCCTAAACAAGATGCTCTTAACTCGGGCTACAATACAAGGGGTTTAGGGATCAAACAAAACCAAAATAGTGGATGATTTTGGTTTGATTAAATAGTTATATTATATATCATAGTCACTATACTAACAGTTAGTAAAACTGAAAAGAAATGTAAACAGTAAGAGAAGAATAAGGGGGGAAATTAAGACTAAAACTCTAGACCTTTTGCACGAGGAACCAGAGTGTTGCCGCTTCACTAGGAACCCAATCAGTCAAAAATTATCTGTTATTAAAATGAAAAATGCCCTATATGTTCTCACAATGGATAAGAAAACCTACTTTCTAAAAGAGAATAAAAAACTTGTAAAGTGAGTCCTTGAAGATTTTTTTTGAAGTAATGATTACAACATGATAGAATGCAATTCAAGCTGCCAAAACATTATGGCCAACTCTTGTGTCCCCTCATACTTCAGTTTGTTTATCTCATTTCTATGACAACTCGTCCAACAACCCATCTAGGATAAAATTTGCACATTTTGTGACTTGGAAACCCAATAATTTTTTTTATAACAATAAACAAAAAGATAAATGTCAACTTGTCCGAGGCACAAATAAAATCTCCAGGATCTGTTCTGACTTGTTATATTGTCATCAGCTATTTTCTGTATTTCTCTCAAAAGACATAAGAGTTTATACCTAAAGCTGTGGTGTACGGAGCATGAAGATGAAAAACGCACACAGCATCTTTTCTTGCATCATGAACACCCTTGTGTATAGCAGTGGCCTCTATTTGAACTTCACCTTGGCCTTCCACCAGCTCACCTCTGTCATTTACGCCAATCAAAGAGGATGGGGTGGCCTGCGCAAATAGAAAAGCATGGAAATTTTCTAGTAGCCTGTGTAGCCTGCGGGATGGTTTACAAGAGCAAAATTTTGGCAGAGGAGCTGCAAAGTGGTGTGGATAATGGGGAGGAGATACTTTGAAATCGCTTCTGCACCTTTTGCCGATAGAATGCTACGCTGCTGAAACCCCCCACACAGGTAACAGTTGGTGCTCCCTGATGAAATTTGCTTTTAAATATCCTCTTCATATCTTTAAAGGAGATTTGTGTATTGGTAAAGGCATTAGGTAATGACTTTAGCACAAAATTGAGCTCAAATAGTAATATCCTCATAACCTAGCCTCCCCAACAATAAATGGAAGAGCGGGTCACTGCAGAGGTGGAAAAGGAGGTCATTATACATGGCCGTTAACAAAATGCGAATCGGATCGCTTGGATCAGATTGTATTGCAGATCAGATGGGACTGGCATTTCTACTTCTGGCGGAGAAGAATTATTTTCAAGAAATGACACAGCTCAGAAGAAAAAAATCCAAGTTCCCCCCAACAGAGTCGAACCTATGACTAGTAGAACATAGGTTCGACTCCTGTTGGTGAGACTCAGATTTCTTCTTCCGAGCTGCCTGTGACACAAATTTAACAACATTGTTTCTCATGATGATCCTTTCTCACCCTTCACTATTTTCACATAAACCATAATACACCTTGTTTACCCCCCAAAATTTTGCATAACTATTGTTTCAAATTTCTCCTGGCTATTACAGTCTCCCCAAGAGAAATTGAAAACAATGGTTATTCAAAATTGTGGAGGTATTGTGGTATATTGGCACTATTCACGGCTCTAAAATCATCACAAATAATTATTATTATTTTAAACTAAACTGCTATGCGTAAGGGGAATTTTACGTTGCATAACTTCATAAGATTACAAATACCAAAAACATGTATGGTCATGTGACATCACCTGTATCAAAGATGGCAGAGAGAGAAGTATCTTGAAGCAGTAATTTTGTGTTATTTCGTTCCATCTCTTCTCTCTTGCGAAGTGGAATTGAATGTTTCCTTTTCAGAGGAGATCAAGAAACCGTGGGGAATATAAGTGAGAAAGGTACGATAGCAACGACTTGTTGTCATAAGCAATTCAATACTAGTCTGATCCAATCCAGAATCTTATGCGATCCAGATTTTGTTGATGGCTGGTCATTAATTCGAATAATGACCTGTTAGTTCGAAAACAACGGAAAGGTGCTAAAAATAGGATTATGCCCTCATTCCTCAGCCTTCTTAAGAATAATTAATTAATTATTAATTCATTTAATTTATTAATTAAAAATAATTACCATGGAGCTCAGGCATCATTATATTAAAGCAGCCTTAACTCTTTGTAGTGTTAGCATTTTTATTGTTTTCGCCACCTTTGTTATTGTTGTCGCTGTCGTTCCATAACACTGCATAAACTCCCTTATGTCTGCAGTCTTCAAGTGTCTCATACTATCAAAGCACTTGTAACACAAACTAGCATTTCACAAAGATGAACAAGATTGCTACAGACCTGACTCCAGTGAAGCCCATGGGGTATCATGAGCATGACATCGCCGTCTCCATTCAAGGCTGGCGCAATCATCGTTAAATGAGTGCAAACACCTTCTCCCATGCCGTAAAAATCGAGGCCTCGAAATGCTGTAGCCAAATCTTGCCTGCATTTCCAATTGGTCCTTGCAGCTGTTTCAGCCGGACTTAAGTTGCTTTCCGAGCTCTTCGGTCTCTTAAACAGTACAACTGGTGAATGCCTCAGAAGTTGGCGAGTGGAATAGTTCAGCACTTGGCGTGGAAAGCACTTCAGCGTTCGACAGACAAAGGAAGTCATACTTAAACTTAACTAACAAATAAAATAGTCCAATCCTAATTCACTATGGAGCAACTACAAAAAGCAAGGACTTTCTACATGAAGTCAAACAAATACAAAGCACCTCCGCTAATCTTAAACTTCAGCAGTGAACTCAATTACACCTGATTTACATAAGTTACTGCATGTTGTACCACCGCGCATCATTGCGTGAATGCACCGTGAGCTGTGACGTCGTCACGAAATCTGTTTCGCCTCGCTTTCGATCCTGGGGCGGGGGTACTTCCCTATAAAACTGCCGGAGTGCTCTTCGCTACTCTTAATTTAAAACTTGTAGGATATGGGTCAGACTGCAGCACTGCAGCCGCAAAGGGCATGATCGTAACTGTTCTTTTGCCGTATTGCTAGCTTTGCAATTGTGCTGGCTTTATTATCCCTGTTGATGTTATTCGAGGACTTCTCACGTCATTAGTACCTTTTATCATGTGGGTCTCGATAAAAGTTTACCTCGTTCTAGTGCGACTATGTGTAAAGAGCGCTAACAAAAGGTCGAGGCCTGGGCATACACAGCCTGCAAAAAGAGGCGTCGCTCCTCGAGCGGCGAGGAGCGTAGCCTGTGCCAGGCTCTCAGATAGTATAGTGCGGACGTATTAAAACGAGCAAAGTGAAAATAAGACGCGCGCGACTTATTTCTTTTTACTGAACGACTTTTCACCACTATCTCGGAGCCTGGAACAGGCTACGAGGAGCGAGACGGCAGTTTTCACAGGCTATGTCAATCCATGCTGTGTGCTGCATGTTCACCGCCTGCAGTAGGCCGTGCTACTTTACTCGGATCCTTACTATACGTTATTGACTTCGTTGAATGTTATCAGTTAATATGTACAAAAAAATATAAAATACATCAGATAAAGAAAACAAAGTAAAATAAAATAAAATAGGTCAATATTGCAACTGAAGCAAGAGACAGGACAATGTCCCAGTTGATATCTTGCCCCGAGAACCAAATGGAATAATAATAATAATAATAATAATAATAATAATAATAATAATATATTTTTTTTAATATTAATTCGCTTAAAAAAAAAGAAAAAACTATTCTGTCGATTTAAAAAGCACTTAATTTAGCTTACAAAAAAAAGTTAATTAAAACTAAGAAAAATTTTTTCGAATTAAAAAAACATTTCATTTCAATAAAAAAAAAACTGTCAACCTCTAAAATTCAAAAGTTTCTTTTAACTGCTAAAAAACAAAAAAAATAGTAATAATAATAATGAAATAAAAAGATATATATGAAGTAAGGAAACACATCAATAGTCCGATAATAATAATAATAATAATAATAATAATAATAATAATAAAGAAAACATAAATAACAGAACCCCACAAAGCTTAACCATCCTTTGCCCTCCTCCCATAAATGGGCAAACCGACGTTCCACCATTCCTTATATAAATTTCTTCACTGCACATTAGCCACTCATCCACTCATAAATTAAGGGGAAAAATGTTTGCCCAGGGACGGAATGTGGACAGGTACGGTCCCTCCTATGGCTGTTGCATGGCTGCATTTACCGTATTTATTCGATTTACCGCCCTGGGCGCTTATTAAATTTTTGGACCTTGAGAGTGGGCGCTAATTCGAAGGTGGGCGCTTATTCGAAGCTGGGCGCTCATTAAATTTTCAACATTTTCAGCAAGTGTAGTATGTTTATTTTGCAACAAAACGATAAAGAGTTACAACCAAACGCGAAGATGTAACAAAGCAAGGTTCCTGTAAAATACTTTGAAGAAAACTCCATCTTCGGGGAAGTCTCTTAGTCGTACTTATTCAATTTTTGGGGGGTGGGGTGGGGGTAGTCGCTTATTTGAGTTTGAGTGGGAGGGGGGTGGGGTGGGCGCTTATTAACTTTTTCTGCCTTTAGGATGGGCGCTTATTCGAGGTGGGCACTAATTCGAGGTTGGGCACTTATTCGAATAAATACGGTACACGTCGCCAAAGTGGAGGTGGGTAGGAAAACATTTGGTTATTTATTTCAGAGCGCAAAACGTAGCTAAAAGAGGGCCGTAAATCCGAAACCATGACTACAAAGAAGGTTAACGTTCGGTACACAAGGACCAGTCACAGGCTCAGTGTCAAAAGAATAAGATGATGAAAAAATGCTTATCGAAAGCCCCGGGGGGAACTTCCCTACAAAAGTGACGGGAGTGCTCGTCGGAAATTTTTGAGAACAACCCTAATTAAAACACCAGAATCTTCTTTTATGGGCGTGTCCCAAATTAATTTCCACCCCTAAAAGGTACCAATTCAATAACAACAAATTATATAACTGGCACTGCAAATTTTAATAGTAATAAAGATAACTTTCGACCACTTTCTTCTCAAGGACGTTTTGAAAGTATTGTCATAAATCTTCATCCTAATAAGCGTTTTAACTCTGGCAGCAGTCATGTTAGGTTTTAGTACCCTAAGCAGTAGCAATCCAGCAATTCGCTAAAGCAAAATTTGAGATGATACTTTGTGAAAATTTCAACTCGTGTAATTAAGGCAGATGATTTCCCTCAAGAAGTTTGGCTCGACCATAAAATCTGAACCCATTAAAGTACAACCGTTGGAGCGTACTGTCCATAAGAAGCGACTTTTTGAAAAGTCTTGCTATAATTTGCTAACTATTAAAAATATAACTTAAAACCATTTCAATGATTTAGAAAAGTAAAGGCAACCAAATTTTCTTTAGCAATTTCTTAAAATACGAAACTGATTTATTTTTCAGTGTTGCTATGAGTTTCAATTATATTACCGATCACCGAATTTTGTTGCTCAACAATGCACTGATGAGAATGTCTGGAGTGGCGCACGCAATTTGCTTTGCACATATCACATGGAAAGAGACTGCTGTTTTATAATAGGTGGAACTGGTAATCAATACACTAGATGGGAATAATGATCCCCAAGGAAAGCAACCGTTAAGTAATTCTCAAAATAACATGCAAGAGCTAATGCACCCAAAAGACTGAAATGTGTCTCAGAATGGGCTGCAGGGTTAGCTTCCCAATCTCTAAACGGTGGCCAATTTTTTAGTTTTTCAAGTCCTTTGACAAGCCAATTTATTGTGTCTCAGTCCCCACACAACCTAGATGTTGCTCACCTCCGAGGCAACACTACAGTCCTATTATCCATTTGAAATAGCTCTGTCCTGATAGCGCTATTTTGGCCTAACTTATATTTAAGTGACTCATTTAGAGGCTTAATCAGTCTTTGGTTCCAAAAGGCTAAATATTGGCTGAAATAGACCTCAGTAGAGTATATGTTTGATTAATAGACGCTCTAATAGCAAAAATTTTGAGACGCGGCCATGTTATAAAAAATACCCCCCTCCCGTCCAAGAAGTGATTCAATGGTGTCCATCTCAGCCACCTGGCCCTCTCTAAGCACTAAGATTGTATCACAGTCTTTGATCGTGTTCAGTCTATGAGCTATGGTAATGATGGTGGAATCTTTTAGCTTCTCGTACACTGCACCCCAGATGATCCTTTCCGTGTTGGGGTCCACGTGAGCAGTCGGTTCATCCAAGATGACGATCTTACTTTGTTGCAGTAACGTGCGAGCCAAGCAGACTAGTTGTCGTTCACCAACACTCAGGTTTTCGCCTCTTCCTAAAAGCTCGTAGTCAAGTTGGCCCTGCAGATTTTTTACCAAATTATGAAGTTTCACTTCTTCCAGAACATTCCATAGCTCATCATCTCTGTGTTGCTCCAAAGGATCGAGGTTCCTTCTGAGTGACCCACTAAAGAGGACAGGCGATTGGCCGAGAACAGAAATGCATCTTCTCGATTCCCGCAGTTGGATGCTATTTACAGGGACACCATCTATACATATCTCCCCGTCAGCTTCCGGCATGCGCAAAAGAGCCGCTATAATGGATGATTTTCCATCTCCTGTTCGCCCAACAATTCCCAGCTTCCTTCTCCCTTGAGCTGTAAAGGTTAGATTCTTCAGCACTTGTGGTCCACCTGGATAATACCTCAGGAAAACATTTCTGAATGTTACTTGACCACTATAAGGCCAAGTTGCTGGTGGGAGTGTTTTTATTTTGTATCCTGGTTCTGAGTCGATGCTGGAGTAGGCCATGACTCGTTCGACTGATGTCATGAGATTCTCAACCTCTGAAAATTGTCGCACGGCATATTGGGACATGTTAGATGTTTCAATAACGTAGACAAGGACGAGGCCAGCTATTGCTGCAACAGAAGGTAAATATTATTTAAGTTATTCACTTGTAAAATCGAAAAAGCGCCGCATCCTCAGAGCGAAAAATGTCGTCCTTATTGATTTTTGATATAGTTACTGCTGAAATGCTAATTTAGAGATGCGGTTATTGCTCTTACTTAGATTTGGAAAGGGGCAAAGGTTGTAAAATCACCCGTCGTATAGGACCATACCTGGATTTTGGAAGAGAAAAACTACCATCAAAGCCACTGAAGTTATTAAAACTGAACATAGGGCATCAGCTCTTACGCCAAGCCACCGACTGCTAGCTAATACCATGGAAAACACTCGGTTGTGTACATCTTGATGTCTGAGAAAAAGGAAAAAAAATTGTAGAAAGTTTAACATAGCTGTGATCCCTTTCGTCGAATATATTCTCTGCGACAAACAGGAAAAAAAGAATGGTAATTGCTTTGTTCATACTGTAAGTGGACTCATCTTTTTCATCTAGTCTACACGTACCACTCAAATAAGTATTCCAAATAGATAGAAACTGGGATTTAAAAGGACTGAGATCCCCAAGCATGCCCGACTACGTGACTCTGGATGACTGAGAGACAAATCCAGCTAGTGCTCAGAGAGGGTCTCGAACCAGGGACAGCCTGGTTGCGAGTTCGATGCGTTGACCACTCGCTGCGTTACCTTCCGTCTTGACACCGACGGGTGCATACATGAGTGATTGAACAAAAGAAAGATTTACTGAATGTCAAACAAAGTAAAGAATCAGACACTAGAAGGGGTGACGTCCCGAAAACGAAAGGTCAGTTCGGAAAAGAAGAGGCAGCCAAGTTTTTAAAATTGACCTCAGTTGTTTGAATATCAAACGAGACACTCTTTCTTAGTGTTTCATTTACACTGTAACTTCTCAAATGACCAGCCAATCATGTTTCAAGAAATTTAAAGCAAAGATTGTCAACAAATTAGATTGCCATTTCCAAATTTCCTTTAAAGTGGATTTCTTTTAACTTGTTAGACTGAATTGTGGCTACAAGAGCAGTACTCCCAACCATTGCTATTACACTTACTGATAAAGGTGCTCGATGAAGTACTTTTCTCTTTTTCGAGTTCGTATTGTGTCCAAGCCAGCTATGGTCTCTGAAAAGTGTGAGAAGACAGGACTGCGGCAGATTGACTCTAGTCTCTTTAGATCCCGTGAAGTCTTCAAGTAGTACCATGCCAGAAATACAAAAGTCATAAATATGGGAACTGTAACTAAAAAGACCCAGAAACTTGTAAACGATGGCAAGAGAGCTGCGGTGAACACAAACAAGAGCGACTGAGAAGCCAACAGAAACATTTTGGGCAAAAGCTCGTCAATTGCTCCGATGTCTTTGGAGAATCTGTTTAAAATTCGTCCTGCAGGATTTGTGTCGAAAAACAACACCGGAGCTTGAAGAACGTTGGTTACCATTTTATTGTGGAGCTTTTCAGCGGACCTGAGGGAAATGTAGAAGAAAGTACAAGCACGGATGATGGCAAATATAAACGCAGCGGAGGTGAACCCAGCATAAATACGTAAGGGGGTTGAGGTCATATCTTGTTTGTTCTGCGCCATCTTTGACAAATGCGAAAGCCAGACATTTGGAGACACCATAACAGCTACGGGAGAAGAAAGAGTAATCCATGTTTAGTCTTTATATCTTGGCATTGTCCGCAAGCATTTAAGTGGGATACAAATTAGTGAGTGATTCAATGACTTCTCGAAGTAATTTTGGCACTGATTTACTTTGCATTCGGCCTTAACCAACAGGACGTGAACCCTAAAGCAATTCGCGGCGGTCTGATCACGTACGTTTCACTGCGTTTGACCCCGACTAAAGCATTTCGCTTGCCTCGGTTCAGTCGCTCACGATCACTTTTGAGGGAAATTTGATATAATCTGACCTAGTTCCCATCATACCCCTCTCGCGCTTCTGGTTTGTTTCTAATCTCGTACCCAGATCTCCCACGGCCAAGGTAAAACAGAGTGAGATCTGGTTACAAGATTAGTTTGTTTCAGCACTCCCTTCTTCCTTGTTCCGTGCTTCCCACTTAGCCTTGGGAAAACCTGTGGAGGAGGCAGCGCTTTTGCTACGAATTCTGATAGTTTGATTGGATTGCCTTTGTCTTTTGAGATTAGCTCTAATAATTGTTCTGCAGAATTTTGGTCGTGCTTTGCTCAGGTAGAAGTCACTATTCAAGATCAGTTATACTAACCTTGGACAACTAGGAAAAGAATAACCACAGCAAAAATCGCAAGTGGGTGCATTCCAGCTCTAAAATAATCCCAGTACAATGCTGCTGAAATATTCCCTGCGGCCATTTCTTCTTCTGAGATCTCTAAATGATTGTCAAGGCTACCACTGGTTGAAGTGGGCGTCACGTGCGTTTTTTTACCTTCAATTTTTAATTCGGCAATAGCCCTTTCTTCGTTTATTGTTGCGTTGACCCCTATGATAGATTCCAGGACGCAACCGCGATTTTCTAATTCACGATAGGTGCCAGTTTCTGTTACGGAGCCGTCATGAAGAACCACAATCTGGGTTGCGGCCTTCATGCTTCTTTCTGCATAGGTCGATAAAATAGTGATCTTCTCTTTAAGAAGCCTGCACACGCACTCATTGAATATGTGCTCACTGACTTTGGCATCTACAGCACTTAGAGGATCATCCAGTAGATACACATCTGCATCAACGTAAACTGCGCGTGCCAAGCTAATGCGTGCCCGCTGCCCTCCACTCAAGGCGACCCCATGCTCACCAACAAACGAAAGATCACCATTTGGAAGCCTGCTTATATCCTCCCTAAGTGCGCATGCTTCGATCACTTCATTGTATCTCTTTTCATCGTATAGTTCACCAAATAAAACGTTTTCTCGAAGACTTCCCGGGAAAACCCAGGCAGTTTGGGGAACATAAGCCATAGTTCCAGAACAGGACACGTCGCCACTTGTTTTAGTTACTTCTCCCGCGATCGCAGCCAAGAGGGTTGACTTTCCACTTCCCACTTCACCAGTAATAGCAATAAGGCATTTCTCAGTAGCTTGAAAGCTAACGTCTCGAATAAGATACTTTTCTTGGTGCTCAGCATCAGTCAGTTTACACGTGAGCCTTGAAACTTGCAAGTGCACACCACGATCTTTAAGTCCACTAAATTGCTGGATATCTTTGGTTAGATAAACAGGATGCATTTGTTCCTTGTTTGCGAAATGATTCCCGGAATTACCATTTAGATACCATTTAGATTCACTGTTTGGTGAACAATTTCTTACTACGATTTGACCATCCAAATGTACATAAGCTGGAAAGCCATTTTCTTTTCCACTTGAACTTCTTTTGTATTCTGAAGGATCTAAAGGGATGTTACTCAACAATAGAAACCTTTCAATCCTTCTGAAGGAGATAATCAGTTCAAACATCAAAGGAATGGCATTACCCAACCGAAGAGATAAGGTTATTCGAAGTATGTTCATGAAAGAGAGTACCATGAAGGCTTTTGTGGGCGAAAGTATTTGTCCAGTTGCCATAAGAGTCAAGATTGCTAAAAAGGTTGCCACGGTGCTAGAGGTAAATAGTAAACTCTCAACTATCGACAACAGGCCACTCTTTTTAAGGAGAATCCAAATTTCAGCCCTGAAACATAAAAAAAACACACAACCGTCTAGTTTTAATTGTAACAAGAAAAATCTTAAAATGCATTTTATACAAAGAGATTTGACCCAAAAAGTTGCATATAATTCTAGTGAGCTGTGATGCATATACTTCCCGGAATTACTCAGAGTTTCTGAGACTGGAGCCTCCTTTGGCCCAATGAATAATCTGATGTTCTTCCATTTCAGGCTTTTTTCAAGATTTCTCGGCATGAAATCCCTGTAATGCGTTTGTGGAAGCACAGTCTGAAGAATTGGCATGATTTTCCAATAACTTCATTAGGCCAAAAAAGATTTTTCTCTGGAATTCCTGGAAATTTTGCATGGAAAAGATAACTTAAACCCGAACATAGAGGTCCATTTTTCCTCGGGAAGGAGGTCTGTAACAATAAGTACATTCCTTTAGAATTTCTTCGTTTAACAGTAGTATAGAAACACTTCATCATGACCAGCTATATAGGTTCCCAATGAGCAGCCTCATTACCAGGATGGCTGGCTCCAAGTCATCCAAGACATTTTTTGTAACGTTGCTTTCCTAGGATAAGGATGATGAGGCGGGTGAGAGTTAAAGTGCCCATCACCTAAAATTTTTTATTTTCTTATCTGAAAGTACACCTTATTAAAATAACTTGAGTGTGCGAAAAAATTTTGCGATTTGAACCAAAGACGATTTTTTGCGAATTTTTTAAAAACGTTCAAATTTTCCGCAGTTTTGGCACATCATTCGTCTTAGTCTTCTCTCGGAGTATGACGTACTTTAAGGAACACGTGACTTTGTCGACAGGGAAATATTAAGAGTTCTGTTAGGTTTTTCTGTTTCAGAAAAACTTTCTTCTTGCGAACACACTGTGATTCAATCCTTACTTGTAATTGATCTTTTTTGTGTACAGCTGATGAAGGCAAGGCAGTGCGAGTTCCTTAATTTACGTCACATGACGTCATATGTGAGCCTGCTAGTTTGCGTGATCAGCTGCGCGGGTGTACTGCAAAAATGTAGACTTCAAAAATTGGTAAAAAAATCGCTTTTTGTTCAAATCGCAAAATTTTTTCGCAGAAGTTATTTCAATAAGATATAGTTTCAGTTAAGAAAATAAAAAAAATTAGGTGACGGGCACTTTGAGACAACAGAAATAATAACGAGACGCTTGATGATTGTTTAGCAGCTATCCAGAAGATTTGTGATTTTACTCCTGAATGCTTAAAGCGACAGACAGTCTGGAAAAGAGAAAGTTGAACGTCTGACCTGAAAAAAAAAAACCTTAAGTCCCCACAAAAACCTGACTTCCATTTCCTTACCTTCTCACGTCTTGCACCTTAGTCCGGTAGTTTTCTTCCCACGCATGCGCCTTGAGTGCGCGGATTCCAGATATCAATTCGTTCATTAGTGAAATACGTCGATCGGTCACCGCAGCGGTCGCTTGTCGTAATCGCGCGCAGATAGAGGATATTTTCATGACCAGAGGGATTAATGCAGTCAGGAATAGTATTCCCATTAATGCCTGCCAGCCGACGAGGTAAAAAACTAAACAGATTACAGCGACCAACTCGAAAACAGCCAACAGCGAAGTTAGAATCCATCTGGGAGCCAGTTCTATTCTCTGGACATCGTTTGATATCAGGGAAATGATGTTACCCTCTGTAGTTTCTCTAAGGTTTTGTTGACTAATGAGGGGGATCTGCAGAAAAACAATTCGAAGGCTTACTAAAAACTCGTTAAGTGTAAACATTGTTAGTTGGCAATTGGTTTTCATATTTAATCGCTGGAAAGTGATTTATTCGTTGATTAGCGCGCGCTATGAAATGAACAACCGACTCAGTCCGTAAGCTATATTTGTTAGATAAGACCATGACTCTTGAACCTTATGGCCCAAACCGCCGTGACGAATTTTAATCTATATCCTTATCTATTTTTATATTGTACGTCGTTTCCGACTCTCTCCCTTTTAAACAATTTTTATTGCGACATTGTCCATTTATTTTACTTAGTACTAGCCTAAATATTGTTTAAAAATCAATACACGTTGTTATCAGCTTTGCAGTAGTCTCAAAACACATATATACAAGCTCACCTTTAAGTAAATTATTCCTTTCAGAGCACTGCTGAGCCTCATACCAAGCAACTCAAATCTGTAGGCGGAATAATGTGTACAGGCGGTGGACAATCCACCCATTGCTAAGAGAAAACAGAAAACGTATACAAGAGCATGATCCGGCTTCTCAGTCGAGCTCAACAAATGGATGAGTAAACCCAGAACGAGGGGCTGAGAAATGCGAAACAAGGATTCCATGAGCCAAAAGTTCATTAGCAAGACAATCTCCCTCCAAGGAAGCATTCTCAAGACACATTTCCAGAGTGTGGGTTTCTTTCCATCCGTGGCCTCGCTATTACATTCCTCTACCTGGTCATTCCATTCTTTCTGAAGTTGCTCCGTCAGGTCACGTGTTCTGTCATTCTCGTGTAGCGGCAAAAAGTCTGCCTGATTCAGCGGTCTCTTGCTTCCAGTTTTGAAAATACTATTCATCCACCCAAAGGTCAGAAGAGAGCAAAAACTGGTAGATGACCGGACTGTAGGATGACAAGGCTCCTCAGTGTCATAATTTTCATCTGTTGCTAAGGTCTTGTAACGTATCTTTGACATGTCACTGTCAAAGAAAGTTACAACAGGTTGGTTACAAGTCGTTGTAAACTTGGACAAATAAGAAAGTCAACATTTAGGTTCCTCTTATTACTCCAACTTCAATTTTAATGGTACACAGGTAGAAAGGAATGATCAGAATACCACTGAATACTCTTAGCTGACCTGTTTAGGCTAACTTGGGAAAATCCAGGTTCTTAGTCGCGAGTTTTTACTGTATTCGTTTGCTCTTTGACAGAATCACCGGATATCTTTCTTCTGGAGTTTTGAAGAGTAGTGTGAGAAAAAAAAATCACTGAGGGTGCGTTGATATAATCATAGCTAGAATGATTAACTGTGACCCAGGTGCCAAAAATTGTGAACTAAATGCTTCCATGGAACAGCCATAGGAGGGACCGTATCTATGTTAGGCTGAAATAGACCTGTTTTCAGGCTTGTCTGGCAATTTAAGGGGTTTACCTGCCAGAGATTTTTCGCGTCGTAACTTCGCCCGAAGATCAGTCGGTTTGCTGCCGACACCGAAGCATTCAGCCGCACGCGAGAAAAAAACCTCTGCTACGGAGGGAAGTGATGGAACAAAGTTGCGGCGAACATTGCCACCTCTAGTCAAAGTCAGAAAAAAACTCGACATTTGTAAAAGAATCTAAATTCAGATATTTCACTGTTAAGTAAATGAACGAATATTCTCATTTTGGACATTTTGGTATGAAGTTACAATTTTGGTAAACGGGCACGAGGGAGACTGTGGGAACTCCGTCGAGTTATATTTTTAGTGTGCAAACCTTTTATGGATTTTTTGGAGGAATGCCTCCAGACCATTTTGGAATTTCAGGGGCACCCAACGACAATTTTCGGAAAAATATCTGTTCGGACGACAATTTGAGATCTAGAATTTTCGAAACATTTTGTTGTAAAATTTCTTGCTTGCCTGCCTCTCCTAGGATTTTCGAACATCTACGAAACGGTATAATTGCCCATTTCTAACGGATTTTCACCCTAAAAAGGTCACCTAGAATTTCCGGGAGCCTTTTTTCTAGCTGAAAGTTTCGAAAAGGTGAGTTTTGATTCCTATAATTTTCGGATCACTAGACTTTCAGCTAGGAAATCAGAACAGATTAAAAAATTTTAGGGGATAAAAATATGCCTATATCTACCGTTTAAATACTAAAATACGTTCATCAATGCTATGTTTAAGTGGTTTTGAACTATATTCTCGTTGGGTGCCCCTGGAATTTCAAAGCCTCTGAAACACTAGTTTCATATCCATTAGGTAGTTCTCTGACAACATCATCCTTGGCTATTTTTAGAGTAGACTAGTGTCTTGTTTTGCTTTATACTAGCCACGGCCGCCTGAAAACATGACATAGCGGATGGCGATCTCTTGAGAATATCAGTAAGAAGCCGAGTTCTTTATTACTTTTGAGAAGTCAACGGAAAGAAGCAAAATCTTCACCGACTAAGGGGGATGAAATTCAGTAGAAGAGTAAAAAACCGACGCAAAATTGTAGATAACTTAACTTGGCTGTTATCACTTAACTTGGCTGTTATCAAACCACTTGATCCGCTTGAGATATGATAATTCAGATAATTCGAGTTGCATTTTCAATCGTATTGTAATGTTGTGTGTGACACCGGAAATAGATGTTTCTTCGCTAAAAGACATCTAAAAAAGCATCTTTTGACCAAATTTTCCGCTAAAACGATAGCAAAGGTGAGAATTTCGGTTTTTAGGGCAATAAAGCCAAAAAAATTATGGCGGGCTTATGGTCACACACCATTAACCCTTTCACTGCCAAATGAAGCCATAGGCAAATTTCGAGTAAGTTTGCAAATCAGCCATTCAGTAAAATTTTGAAAAACAAATAGCGCCATGTGTAAGTACAGGTAGAGAGCGTTCATTTGAATGGTCACATCATAGGATTTGGTCCCCAGACTCAAAAGGTAGAGTCACCTTACAAAACTCCATCAAGCACTCTGGCAGTGAGAGAGTTAATTAAAATTATTAAATCTTAGAGAAATAGAACTCACAACACTTACCGCTTAGGATCTGTTCAAGGCTTCCGCATTCCTTCGCGATCGACACAGCCGTATCAGAAACCTTTTCTATTGCCAGCAGGATCCGATCGATGTAAAATTTTCAATTCTCTTTTTTGCTTCAGTATAAGTATTAAATAAATCACTGATCATACATCGTTTTTTCTAGGCCATGTTGCTACTAAATCTTTGTGCTACGAAACGTATGCAAATCAACATATTTTCGTGTTGATTTTTCATCTTTACAACTGATAGACGTGGCGAAATAGAAACGGATGTGAAGTGTTAAAATTAGAGTCCGACTACAGCGTGAAAATATAGACCAGACTGTCCATTTCTCCACAAAAAATCCCTTTTATGTTTGAATCGGTTTTCTTTTCCCAGTGGAAAGGGAAGGATTATTACTTATTGTTGATTCCTTTGATACTAGTAATTATTCACTCATTGATCATTCCTGTACAAGAGTTGCTATTAAATTGAATCAATTTGACATATATGCGTGCTATTATTATGAAAGCCAAAATTTCATCGATGGAAAGACACACTGATTTGATTTTTTAAAATGAAATTTCACTCAGAGTTTCAATCAATCTTAAGCTTGTACCTAAAAATGGAAGCATAAGGAGAAGTTTAAGTATTTTCTTCAATGATTTGTACACATTTTTTATTAATCTTATTCATTCATGCATTAAATCTGAAAATTCAAACGCGAGTGTGAGTACTTCACACCAAATTTTAGCTCATTTTGCAGTGTTGTTAACCTCTCGCTATGAAACCAAACTTTCAAGGGATGAAATTAATTGGTTTTTAATGTCAAAAAAGAGTAATTAAGTGAAGACAGCTTCGAGACAAACACGTCCCCAATAAAAATCTAACGTTAGAAGTCAAGAAACATGCAGATCTTCAAAGACCCCAATAGCAATCGTTTTAATATTCTCAGTCAATTTTGTCCACCAGTGCCTTCTTTTAAAATGGTTTCTTCACCCTTGATTTATTTTCCGACTGCTTAACTACAGCTGTTATTTTTATATTTCACTCTTGAATTTGATGGAGGGCGGTTCGAAATTTTCGATGGTAAAGCTACGTACAAACGGACTGAACAAATCTCAACATTATTGGGCCAACAATGTTGGGAGTTGTTGGGTCCGTGTTGACAGTGGTGTGCAAACCCATGCAACAACTCCCAACAATGGTGGGACCTACAGTGCATCGTGGGAAGGACAAATCCCATCTAAAGACTTGAGAGACCATAAGTGTAATCCCAACAATGTTGGAAGAGCTGTGCAAACGAATCCAACATTGTTGCGCTTCCCTTCGGTGATCAAGGAACATGTTGGAGTACAGATTTGGAGAGAATCGAGCTTCTTGGTTCTTCTAAGTTCCAAGATTTTTCAAGCGAAGCTAGGCTTACAAAGTGGTTGTATTCATACTAAACAATTAAGTTAAGTAGTTTCTAAGAAAAGTCAATAGTATTCTTAAGCGTAAAAATAGGTGTCTGAGGAGGAGGTAGAACTGGTAGAACAAAAGATACTGAATTAAGTTGAATTCAGCTGCAGGTGGAAAAAAGTGCTTTGCAAAACTGAAAAGATCTCTTTAGCCAAATTTCTATACAAGAGGTTAAAACGATGGTTTGAAAGAAAGCAAATTTTTCTAAGATTCTGTCAAAAGAAATTTTAGTTTGAAAGTAAGAATTTTAGTGAATTTTAGCTGAAAATAGCCCAGCCGAGAACAAAGGACTAAAAAGGTATTAGGTAACGTGGCCCCAACAAGATTTTAATGAGATAAGGAAATCTGATTATGATTCAAGTTTGGAAGCGAAAGTGAGAACTAACATCAGGTTTAAATAAACGAACTTCGTTAACAGAAAACGCTTATTTTCTCATTCCACAGCTGAAAAAATACATCTACCAAGGGAAGTAATTATTTTTATCTTTCGAACTTGTTTCTGTGTTTCTTAAATAAGCTTGAAGAGGTGTTTCTTAACCTCAGTTAAACCTTTAATTGTGAAAGAATGAAGCCACACTCAGTATTATGTTTTCTACAATTAACAGTGCGTCCAACTTCTATTTTTTATTGATCCCAACACCAAAGAGGTCGGTGCAAAAATCTTTTAGTCAAGGCCTTAACTGACCAGCAAAGGTTTGCTAGTAGAATCTAAAGTGTGTCCAGCTGTTCTGATAGCTTGTAAACACCATCCTTTGTCCATTAACAAAGGGTAATTGAGATATAGTGGAACTTTTGATTTCCGGACCGACCTAAAAACAACTTATTTATATATTATATATCCCTGAATAAAGTTAAAATGCCCAACACCGAAATAAATAGAAAAACTGAATAATATTAATGATTACGAAGGGAAGCGCATTACAATAAAGCAGACTGAGCAAAAGTGTACCCTAACAAACAAAAGAAATGTCGGGAGTTGTTGCCTCAAGAGTTTTACCGGTTTTAACATTTGGCCAACAACTCCCAACAACACGCAACAACATGCAACAACGGGCAAAAGGTCGTGAAAACGGACTCAACATGTAATTTAAACAATGTTGGAAGTTTTTGGCTAAAAATGTTGCGTCCGTCTGCATTGGGCTTGATGTCACGTTTATCATGTTTTGAGTCCTTTTTGATGAAAAGTTTTACAGGTTGCGGCACTCCCTTAATTATGCACTTCTGCGTCGATTCTGAGTTTTAATAGAAATTTTATTGAAGCTACAAAGAAAACGTTTCTGATGCATCGCAAAGGACATCTTTTTATTGTTCTTCTACTAAGTATAATTAATAGCAGCGTTAGTTGCTTTCTTAAATTCGCACAAAAGCTTTGGAACAGTTAGTTCTACAGTATAAATCTAAACT